CAAAACTCTATATCCATTACAAAACAACTCCCTATTTCCTACTCCCCAGCCCCTGGTAACTGCCGTCCTACTTTCTGTTTATTTGAGTTTGAGTACTTTAGATAGCTCACAAAATGGAACCACACAGTATTCGTCTTTCTGTGATTGGCTTCCTTCACTTAGCTTAATGGCCTCGAAGCTCTCAGATCTAAGTGAGGGCCATTTGCCTCTGGTTCACCTACTCCCGGGTAGATGTAGCCCTTTGACCTCCCAGCTCATTGGGGAACAATCTCCAGTTAGGGCTCCACCTCAGCCAGCCCTGAACTATGATTTCTGCTCAGATCAATAAAATGAAGGTTCCAATTTGGCAGAATCATCCAGTGTTTTGAGGGCAAAAGCAGCTTCTGTAGGGCTCATCTCTCTGAGGTTCTTTCTTCCTGCTGGCCTCACGATTCTTTACTCAGTTGTTGAAGCTTCAGTGCTTTTCAGTTGTTTTTTTTTTTTAATATTGATTTCATTGTTACTTGTTTTCAGCAGAATGGTGGAACTGACAAATAGAACCTGTTTTCCCAGACACCAGACCTCTGACTTCAGTTTATCAACATCACCTAGCTATTGCACCCCCATCCATTCTGGGGCTGGATGGGGTTCATATTTAGCATACTTTGCTCATGACCAAATCAGACTTTTGTTTAAACATACCTCTGGCAGGAAATCATCCTAATTGACAGTGGAAGCTTTAGGCCCTCCCCTCACAAGACTCAAAATCATTGTTAAAACCCAAGGTCTTGTGCTGGTGGTTGGAAAAAGGAGACCTGTTGGGAGAGAAATGACCTTTATTGACATTTCAGTTCCTGAGAGCTTGAGAAAAGGTTGTCCTCGTTTATTTAGTTTGAGTCCGGTTATAATTGAGTTGAGATAGTAGAGGGCAGGAGGCTACTTTTTTATGATGCTAGATTATAAGATGGATAACGAAGTCTTATTTCCCAATCCTGCTGGTCACATGCTAGATGTTGAGAACCACGCTCTCAGTTCCTGAGAGAGCGGCTCATGCCGGTGCATGAAGGGCCATACGGCCAAGACAAGCAGGAATAACAAGCGTGCATGACACGCTTGAGGAGGCAGATAGCTGTGGTGGCGAATCAGGACATGAGTGCCAAGAGCCCACGTCTGACAGGCGCCCCGCCCCTCCTCATTCAGTGCTGTGTCCCTGAAGCAGTCACGTAAAGTTCCTGGGCAGCAGTCAGGTGCTGTTCCCCTGACCTTGGCTGTAGGAAGGTCGGTCTTACTGGCCCCAGCCACCAGCCCATGAAGGATGGAGAGGGGGTGCTTGGAGGACTCCCTAGGAGGAAGAGGGAGCAGCCACATGATGATCAGGTTTGTCTAGAACCCAATCATGGACTCTGGTTCCAGGACATAGTTATCCAGCACGCTGGGTCCTTGAAGCAATCTTTGTTTATCTGCCCTAGCCCCCTCATTTGCAGATGAGCAAAAAGGGCTGTAAGAGTTTCTTATTTTGAAAAAGTAGTAGTGCTGCTTTAGCCTCATGTGGCTTGTTTTAGTAAAACCTAATTTGGGAGAGTTTATTCCAAACCTCTGAAGCCACTGCTTGAGCCCTAGAGAAGGACGTTAGCAGTGGTGAGCCACATCAGCACCTAGCTCTTCAGGAGGCCCAGCTCAGGCCCAGCTGGCTGACACAGGCCACTCAAGATGACTGTTCTCTTACTCTCTGTGCATCCCATGCTCCTCCAGTTCCTGCTTCACTTATACCTATTCACAGGACTGACCCACCTGCATATTTGCCCCAGGCCCCAGCTAGTGACTGTTCTTATCAAAAGGGGCAGTAAGGGGCATGCCCCGCTGCTAGTTCCCTGGTTACCAATGAGCAAACCTGATGTCAATTCCCCCTATAACTAGCAGTCTCCCCTTCCCTTTGGCAGCAAAGACTGCTGCCATGTTTTGCTCACCACCGACTGCACCTGGTGGATATTGCTCCAGAACCTTGCTTCAGGCATGTAAATCCCCCCATCCATTAAACCATTGATTGTCTCCGTCACTGAGTCTGGGCTGTTTCTTCTTCGGTCTTGAAGCTGGGCGAGTATAGCATTGTAGGCCTGCGGGGTGCAGCCCAACAAGATCTTAAGACAGTCTAGTCAGAGATCAGCTGAGGTTCCTGTAAAGTCAGGAGGCCCGACTTATGTGTTGGAGGCTTGGGCAGATGGGCCCCTAATGGCCCTGTCTGGTTGCTGAGACCACAAGCTTCTGGAAGCACTATTGTTGGCCTTCTGGACTGGGCCCGACTTTGCCTGCAGATTCCCAAACCATCCCACCTCAACTCCAAAAGAGCCTCTCCACTCTTCCTACCCAGATGACTGACCTACCCTGTTCAGCCCCCAGTCATGCTCTCTGTATTTGCACCTGTGCCCACTGTCACTTTCACTACCAGCCTCAGAGTGGCAGAGCCTTTCAGATCATCCTTTATGTTATTAAAGCAATTGAAATAGCTTATTTTTCAGCCTACTAAGAATCATTAAAAACCAAACTTTCTTTTTAAATTACCTCTATAATTTTATTTTAAAATTACCCTTGTAAAAGTGAAAGTTGCTCGGTCATGTCTGACTCTTTGCCACCCCATGGACTATACAGTTCATGGAATTCTCCAGGCCAGAATACTGGAGTGGGTAGCCTTTCCCTTCTCCAGGCGATCTTCCCAACCCAGGGACTGAACCCAGGTCTCCTGCATTGTGGGCGGATTCCTTACCAGCTGAGCCACAAAGGAAGCCCAAGGATACTGGAGTGGGTAGCCTATCCTTTCTCCAGGGGATCTTCCCGACCCAGGAATTGGACTGGGGTCTCCTGCATTGCAGGTGGATTCTTTACCAACTGAGCTATCAGGGAAGCCCCTATAAAAGTAGGTGACCGTTAAAATGAAAAATGGGTTTTGTATTTGGTATTTTTCTTCTTCCTAAGCCAACAAACATGTTGGCTTTGAGATAACAGGGAAGGATTGTCCTGGACCCACGGCTGTGTCTTTCTAGCTTACTGCCAGCTCCTGGATTTGAGTGTTTTGTCTGATCAATAGAAATCATTCTTTTTTCTTGGCTCCAGTGGGGACAGGAGAGCCTGAGGATCATGAAGGAGCTTGGGCAAAACTCAATTGAAAAGTTTTTATGAAAGTAATTTCTCTCAAGTGTTGATACTGGAGAAATCGGTAGTTTGAGATGTATCTTTGTTGTGACTGGGCTCTTGAACTGTAAGTTCTTGTCATCATTGGATTATTTCTTGTTTCTAGGAAATAGTTTTTCCTGCCCTCCCTCTCCTCCTCACCTTGATTTTTCTCCCCCATCACCTCCAAACAAACACAGGTTTACTTTTTCTCTTGTTTTGGTAGTCTCAGTTACTAGCATTTTGAACCTGAATATTTGGTAGAAGACTTAAATATAGGAGTTCTTCAAATTAAAGGATCAGGCAGCATAATGTTGACTCTATGGCAGATTACCAGGGTGAGAATCAGATTGGGTTGTGTATTATCACCTCTAAACATAAACATAAGAGTTTGAGATTTAGAAAGTCTCAAAGTCATTGGTCCCTCATTTGACAGATGACGATTCCGAGACCCAGAGAGGTCTTGGCTTGTTCAAGGTCCCACCGAGTCAGCTGGAGAAGGAGCAAGTGTCAGAAGCCTTGTTTTCTGGCCCCAAGGCTGCCCTTTCCTCTCTTCCATGATGCCTCGCTTGTGCTGGCCCTCAGCCCCAATACCCACCCTCCACCCTGGACATGGAGAATAGACCCGTGTGTCAGGACACACCATGCCCATGCTCATCTTCATGCCTTCGTCCCTTCTTTCTAATCAGGCCTATCCTGCCACAGCCTGCCATCAGTTTAAAGGAGCAGGCAGGTGTCCTACCTCCCACGCTGCTCTCACCCTCCTCAGAAGGCCTGCAGGTCACTCCTCAAGTATGTTTTAGCTGCTCTGATAGTTGTGCTTTCCAGATGGTGGTGTTCATTTCCCTCTGGTATTACCTGTCATGATGCCTGGGTCCCTGTAAATGGGCCTTAAGTGAATGGGCGTGGGGGACGGCGTAATGCACTGGGTGTCTCAGGCAGGCTTGGCTTCGTTTGCTTTGCTGCCCAGCTTTTCAGGTGTCTCTTGTCTCGACAGCGACTAAGAGACGCCGCCTCTGTGCCCCTCACCCCAGCTCTTAGCAGGGTTCTCAGTTGGTGGTGGGTTGCAGCATTGAGACTTTCATTTTCCTGCCCTTGGATTCTTGGATTCAGCTGAAAATATAACTTTGCTTTATCTTGAAGTCTTAGAAATGGCCATGTCTTCATGGCTGCCCAAATATTCTGGCCTCAGGGTACCTACCATTTGGGAAGTAAGCCAGCCGGTCACAGCAATTAGTTTGCAGATGTCCGTTGCCACCCTTGGTTACTCTGCTACTTATTTGCAGTGGCAGGCTATATGAGCATTGGTGGGAGACACAAGCTAAATAATTGTTAGGATTGCTGTGAAAATTGCAGTGAAAGCCATAACCCTCCAGGATTCACTTTTTATAGCCAGAAAGCCGTTGGTGAAATTTTTGTTCCAAGATCCTCAAAATCGCCAGGATGCTGTATTTTATCCTGTGGGAGTTCTGAACTAATGCTGGTAAAAACTGTTGTGCAGGTCTTTCAAGCCTTGCAGTATAGAATTACTGATAGAAATGGGCCAGTTAACAGGGAGGAAACAATTACTTAGATGTTGTGAAGGAACAGGTTGTATGGCATTTATAACACGGGTGGGTAGTTTGCTCATAAAAGAGAATGCCTCACTGGAATTTATTTGATGAAAATTAAACCGTTAAACCTGCTCAAGTGAGAAAGGGTGGCCATCTGCCAGGTAAAAGCATAATCACCACTTAGAAGTGAGCTTCAGCCGCGCTCCGGTCCACACACGACAGCGTCTCCCGTGGAGAAACCGCTTTCTGACCTCCGGTTTTTCTCGCTGTTTTCACAGAGCCTGAGCCCTTGTGAAGCCGGCGATGACAAGTCTGAATGGTCGCCATGCCGAGAAAACCCTTGACATGCCAAAACCATCAGCCCCCAGAGTGCACGTGCAGAGGTCCGTGTCCCGAGACACGATCGCCATCCACTTCTCGGTGTCCGGGGAGGAGGAGGAGGAGGAGGAGGAGGAGTTCCGGGGGCGCCTGGAGGAGGCGCTGGACGGCCAGGGCGTTGTAACGGGGCTTGAAGCCAAGGAGGACCTCTACCTTGAACCCGGGGGTGGCCATGACCCCGCCGGCCGCGGCGCCCAGCTCACCCTGGCGGACGGCCTGTCCGTGTCCCCCGCCGTCTTGCCCGTCTCCGAGAACACCGTAAAGCTGCTGGAGCCCCCTGCTCCGGCCGCACAAGTATTCGGTACAGTGCCATTGGCTCTGTCCCCGGGGTCGTCCTCGTCGGGGCTCTTAGCTAGCTCTCCCAGCGTGTCCTCTCTGTCCGAGCAGAAGACCAGTTCTTCCTCCCCGCTGTCCTCGCCTTCCCGGTCGCCCATCCTCTCATCCAGCGCCTCGTCCTCCACCCTTTCCAGCGCCAAACCCTTCCTGAGCCTCGTGAAGTCCCTGTCGACCGAGGTGGAGCCGAAAGAATCCCCCCACCCCCCACGGCACAGGCACTTGATGAAGACGTTAGTCAAGTCTCTGTCCACCGACACCTCCCGGCAGGAGTCCGACGCCGTGTCCTACAGGCCCCCCGACTCCAAGCTGAACTTACACCTGTTCAAGCAGTTCACGCAGCCGCGGAACACAGGTGGGGATTCCAAAACTGCACCCTCTTCCCCTCTGACGTCGCCTTCCGACACGCGCTCCTTTTTTAAAGTGCCCGAAATGGAGGCCAAGATCGAAGACACTAAGCGACGCCTTTCGGAAGTCATCTATGACCCTTTTCAGCTTTTCAGTAAAATTATAGGGGAAGAAAGTGGCAGCCACAGGCCCAAAGCCTTATCTTCAAGTGCTTCCGAGCTCTCCAATCTGTCCAGCCTGAACGGTCACTTGGAAAGCAATAACAACTACAGCATTAAGGAGGAGGAGTGTGACTCCGAGGGGGAGGGCGTGGGGAGCGACCCTGGCGTCCCCAGGAGCGACCACGCACAGTCCTCCGAGGAGCCCGCGAGAGAGGCGGAACCGAGGAGCTCCCAGGGGAGCGGGCAGAAGGAGGGAGGCCCGAAGACCGGCTCCCTGGTTCTTGAGAAATGCTCCCTGTCTGCCTTAGCGAGCAAAGAAGATGAAGAGTTTTGTGAACTGTACACCGAGGACTTTGACCTGGAACCGGAGGGGGAGAGTAAAGCTGAGAAGCTCCTAGAAGGCCCTCTCAAGCCAGAGGGGCTGGCGGACGATGGCCTAGCTCTGGACAGTGACCACGAGGTGGACTCGGCCGCTCAGCGGCTGGAATTACCCGTCAAGACGCTGGGCTTCTTTGTCCTGTGCGTCTATGCGTACCTCATCCTCCCCCTCCCCCATTACGTGAGCGGACTCTTCCTGGGCGTTGGCCTTGGATTCATGACTGCAGTCTGCCTGATTTGGTTTTTTACACCACCAAGTGCTCATAAACATCACAGATTACATAAACATCTACAACACTGGAGCCCAAGGTCTCTGGATATCAAAGAACCTGAGATCCTGAAGGTAAGCCTCTCCGCAGCTGCTTGCTGCTTGCTGGCAACCAGCCTCATTGTAGATCTGACTGTATCTTTTTAGTTCACTGTTTCCACAGGTGTTTGTTTTCAAGCCGTGTTTCTAAGACTTTGGTATCTCCAGGCACCCAAAAGACTTGTTTGGTAAACCTCATTCTAGCTCACGTTTTGCCAGTTCATCAGGTAGCTTCGTAAGGATCTCTGTGGCTCTGGAGCATTTCCAGTAGCATTTCCATTCGGTTTCCTTTTCAGTCTCTCTCTGAATTTGCCAGGCATCTGCTGCCTACTAAAGATTCATGGTAGCTGAGTCTGTTAGGATTAAATATTCTTGAGGGTAGCGCTTCCTTGCTGGTCCCGCGGTTAAGACTCTATGCTCCCAATGTGGGGTGCTTGGGTTTGATTCCTGGTTGGGGAATTAGATCTTGTGTATTACAGCAAAGACTTGGCACAGCCAGATAAATAAATAAATAATTTAAAATTTTTCTTTGAGACCCTAGAGCAGGGCTAAAGACTTCTGGAATGCAAGAGGAGGGGCGGAGGAAGAGGCCAGTTTCAATGTCAGGGTTGGGCTGCTGCACACTGCTCTGTGCACAGTGGGGCCTGGGCTTGAGAAGGAGGCATTACCTTTCTGTGCCCATCAGATTTTAGGATCTGGACCTCCTGAGGGGTGCCTGAGGCAATTCATTGGAAAGAAAATATTTGAACTTCCATTTGTATTTATTTCCACGTATTTTAAAAGTTTCTGGTGCTTCTGCATGTTTCATAATATACACAATTGAAAGCATAGCTGTAGCTTCTATAGGTCATAAGTTAAGCACATTTTTTTGGTATATATTTTTTTTAATTTTAGTAAAATGCACCTAACAAAATCTACCATCTTAACCATTTTTAAGTGTACAGGTCAGCAGTATTATGTTTAATATTCATTCACATTATTGTACAACCATCACCACCGTGCATCTCTATATCCTTTTCACCTTTTAAAATGGAAACTCTAAACCCATTAAACAATAACCTCCTATTTTCCTGGCTATTGCCTAGCTCCTGGTAACCACCATTCTACTTCTTTGGTGGTGGTTGTTGTATTTTTAATACTCTAAATATGTCATATTAGGTGGAATCACACAGTATTTGTCTTTTTGTGACTGGCTTGTTTCATTTAGAATAGTGTCCACAAGGCTCTTCCATTGTAGCATATTGCAAAATTTTATTCTTTTTTAAGGCTGCTATTGTATGTATATGCTAACTACATTTCGCTTATTTCTTCATCTGTTGATGGACACTTCGGTTGTTTCTCCATTTTTGCTCTTGTGAGCAATGCTGCCATGAGCGTGTGTGTACAAAGAGATGTTTGAGACCATACTTTCAATTCCCTGGTTTATGTACCCAGAAGTGAAATTGCTGGATCGTATGGTAATTCTAGTTTTAATCTTTTGAGGAGCTGCCATACTATTTTCTACAGTGACTGTACCATTTTATGTTCTCACCAGTAGTGCACAAGGGTTCCAGTTTCTCCACATCCTTGCTGACACTTGTTATTTTCTGATTTTTTGATAATTCAAAGCTTGTTTGGTTTCTCTATTAACAGGTTTTTCCTCCTCTCTGTTTAAATGAGTGCTCCAAAAAAGGGCATCATGATCTCTATTTACTGCAATACAAAAACCCCACAAAACCAGGGGAAAAACTCTTAGAATGCAAAATATTGTTTGTTCTGCTTTATTTTTTAATTTAATAACCTTTTTCCCTTATTTAAAAAAAATACATGATCAATGTTTAAAGAAACACAGAAAACCCAAAGGAAAAAATTATTCTTTATCACACTAGTGGGAGGGAATTATAGTTAATACAGTATATAATATATACATATATATATATTTGGTATATATCCTTGTTTTTTCCTACATTTCTGCAAATATGAGTACATATATCACACATGAATTCTTTTTGTTTTGATTCAGTGGGATCATATACAGACATCTCAGAGATGATATGGGTTCAGTTCTAGACTACCACAATAAAACAAAATATTGCAATAAAGGGAGTCGATAAATTTTCGGTTTCCCAGTGCATGTAAAAGTTCCGTTTACACTATACTGTCCCCTGTAAAGTGTACAATAGCATTCTGTCTAAAAAAACAATGTATGCACCTTCATTTAAAAATACTTCAGGAGACTTCCTGGTGGTCCAGTGGCAAAGCCTCCATGTTCCCACTGCAGGGGGCCCAGGTTTGATCCCTGGTCAGGGAACTAGATCCTTCATGCTGCAAGTAAGAGTTGGCATGCCACAACAAAAAAGATATGCGGTGCTGGAACTAAAGATCCCCCATGGTGCCATGAAGATTGATGATCCCGTGTGACTAAGACCCTGCGCAGCCGAATAAATAAAAATACTTCATTGCTCCCCAACTTTGTAAATCTACTGTACTTCCATAAAATATATTTTTTAAAATAGTTATTACCGAAAAAATGTCAGCCATCCGCTGACAGTGCAGGGCTGCCACAAACCATCAATTTGTAAAGCACACAACATCCGTGGAGCTCAGTAAAGCGAAGCACAGTAAAATGAGGTTTGCCTGTGTTCTGCAGTTCAACCTTTTTTTTCCCCCTTTCACATGGCAATATGTTAGGAGAGTGTTTCTTTTTTAAAAGAAGATGGTGCTCAGTCTTGAGGCTGTGATACACTTAAGTGTAGCATTCATATAAGAAGTGGAGCAAAAGTGATCATTATGCTTGGCTGCTAAGCTTTTTCAATGAGGGTGGTGCCGTGTCTACGTGAATTGCATGCCCTGTAAGTTAGTGCTAACTTTAGCAAAGAAAAATGGTGCTTACATTGCTTCCAGTGCCTAATGACTGACTGCAGTATTCTGTTTAAAATGATTTGCGCTCTTAATTGTCTTGGGAAGATTTTAATTTTAATCCGTCGCTCTTTAGTGCTGAGACTACAATTTACTATGTTTTCTGCTAATTAGTCAAGAATTTACTAACTACGCAGAGGATGCCAAAGTTATGGCACAGTGTGGTTGCTTTGATCTGATAATGAAACAGTAAAGCCAGCACTACAAAGCTGAGCACCGACAGGGGCTCGCTGAATGTTGGGTGTAGTATCTCACCTAATCCTCACCACAGCCCTCTCCAGTTAGGTAACGTGCTCATGAGGATGTGGACACAGAGACGGTAAGTTACTCGCCCAAGATCACACAGGGGAGCCAGGCAGGACTGACTTTTTTTTCCTTTTTTTTAAGGAAGGTGTTTTACCCTTGGTCCCTGTGATAAATATATTTGGATTTTCCTTCAAGAGAACAAATACTTCAGTGCTGTCCTGGACTGACACCTGTAATTCAAGAAAATTGTACATTGTAGCCTGAGGTCTTTTGTTTGGCGCGTAGGGCTGTTTTTAGACACCTGGCTAAATGCATTCTCTATTTTAAAAGGGGCCACTACCAAGAATTGGAAGGGTAGGATGTGTGTTGCAAGTTGAAGATTTCAAATGCAACTGTGCTTTGGGCTTGATTAGTTTTACTGAGTAGGAAATCACACTCTGGGGAAGCATTTTAAAAAGATGACACTTTAGGGACATCCCTGGTGGTCCAGTGGTTAAGAATCCACCTTGCAAGGCAGAGGACAAGGGTTCAATCCCTGGCCTGAGAACTAAGGTCCCACATGCCAAGGAGCAACTAAGCCCACATGCTACGATGAAAGATCCCACATGAAGGAACGTCCTGTGTGTCACAGCTAAGGCCTGACTCAGCCAAATAGGAAAAAAAAAAGACACTTTAAAACATTTAGCAGTGTTGACATTAAATTTAGGACACAATGTTGTGATAAGAAAAGGATAGTATAATAGAGCCTAATTTTGAGCATATATGTTCTATTCCATTTTCTCATTGGGCATTGTGCTTTCTGTATGAGGTAGGATAACATTTGCTCTTGTAACAAATTAGAAATCTGTTCCTTGACTTCTTAACAGTCTAGTATGGGTGTTCTTGGCAGTAGGTGGATGGGGGCCCATGTTGGTTAGGAGCCCAAGTTCCTTCCATCTTGTGGCTCGGCAATCTTTTTCTTAAAGAGCTAGGTAGTAGATACTCACCCCAACCCCAGGTGGTGCAGTGGTTAAGAATCCACCTGCCAATCAAGTAGACATAAGAGATGCGTGTTCATTTCCTAGGTCGGGAAGATGCCCTGGAGGAGGAAATGGCAACCCACTCCATATTCTTGCCTGGAAAATCCCATGGAAGAGGAGCCCGGCAGGCTGTAGTCCATGGGGTTGCAAAGAGTCGGACATGTCTGAGCGCACACACATACACACACACACACACAGAGTAAATATTTTAGACTTATGGCTCTGTTTCCGTTGCAATCCACTCAGCTCCTTGTTGTAGCAGAGAAGGAGCTGTAAGCCATATGTAGATGAATGAGTGTGGCTGTGTTCCAATAAAACTTCATAGAGAGGCCCTAGGCCCAGGTTGCTGACCCCTCCCCCCCTAAGTTATTAGAATTCCTTGCATCCAGCTGGCAGAAGGGGAAAGAGAAAGCAAGGAGAACATGTACCTCCTTAAATGCCTGGACCCAGAAGTGACACACATCACTTCCATTCACATTCCACTGGGGTGAGTAGTCCCACAGACCCTCCATAATGCCAGAGGCCCTGGGAAATCTAGGACTCGGTGGGGCAGCTTCTTCTCTGCAGTGGCTCTACACTATGGAAAGGGTGAAAGTGTTAGTCGCTGAGTCGTATCCAACTCATTGTGACCCCGTGGACTACATGGACTGTAACCCACCGGGCTTCTCTGTTCATGGAATTCTCCAGGCAAGAATACTGGAGTTGGTTGCCATTTCCTTCTTCAGGGGTCAGCCCAGGAATGGAACCTGTGTCTCTTGCAGTGCAGGCAGATTCTTTATGTTCTGAGCCACCGGGAAGCCCCCTCCCACTATGGAAAGAGATGCCTGCATTTTGAAGGCACGGCTAGCCTTCTCTACCTCACTTTCATAGAAC